AAAAAAAGCACTTAATTAGCAATGAATGCTGTATTTTGTCAATTTTCTATGTATATACAACTTCAGTGATCCAACTTTGTTATGTATGTGCATTTTCGCACTACATAGTTTTAAAAAACAAATTACACAGTTCTTATACAAATTTTTACCAATGAATTTCCATGACTTTCGAATGATGTTTCATTTAACCTACTAAAAATATCTGTTGTAAACGTATATTTCATTATGTTAAAAATTTCGTTTTCTGTCCCACTGTCACAAGAGTTTGCTTATGAGGGGGTATCTATTATTGTAGGGTTTTTACAACATGGCATGCCTTGAGGCAACTATTGTTGTCTATAACCCTATATAGATAAAATCGAATTGAAGTGAACATGAAGGAAATCAAAAGGTACACCCTCATCTCATATTAACCAGTTTTAAATTGAACAGTTTTCTACTGCATAAGCTTTTGGGTTGTTTTTTTTTTTAATCTAAAGTTCAAACTCCTCACTCATTGTGTGATTCAGTATCTTGTCTGGCAGCCTTGGATTAAAGAACCAACCTTCTGACTAGCAGATGATCTGCTCTGCCTCCTAAGCTACAGCCACCTTATTATCTCACTAAGATAATTCTGGTGAAAGACCATAGCTATGGAAAGCACCTAGCTGCTCCCATGTTTAGAATATCAAACATTTTGCAATCCACTTTTTGTATGCCTTGTGTTTCTTAAGCCATTCCAAAATTCTTGTCCAAGAGATTTCAGACATTATAAAATAAGCATTTTGTTGGTAAGAATGTGTGCAGTATCCAGTTATCCCACATAGAAAACATGTCAAGACTCTGCAAACAAAGTATTGTTTAACTAATATGAATGTTAGGTAGTCGATCATAACCATATTTCCATGGCTTTGCCAAAGTTTTATGGGATTACTTTCAAAAATAAATTACACATATGTAATGTTGTTTTATCTCAAAAGACAATAATACTTTAATTCAGAAATGTTTTAACAGAGCTACATTTCAAATATAAAACAGTACATGTGCTCTGTATTGATTCTAACGGTAAATAAAATTTAGTATCTGATAAATAATTTTATCCATATTGCAGTTGGTTTAAAAACCTAATAATTTCAGTGAGTCTTCCAGGCCCGTAAACAATGGCAAACAATAGCTACAAGCTAGTTATGAGCTAAAAAAGTTACCTTAACGTCTGATAGCTTTCTGAACCAAACAGAGGGACAATGTGAGAAACTGTACTGAAAATAAACTGAATTTACACCATGAAGTGGATACACCAGTTTTCTGTGATCCACTAGTTATTCAGCATTTAGCTAGTTGTGCTAATCACGCACAGACAGTATAAAGGGCAACACAATCTAAATTCATTAAGTACCAAATGAAATCAACATTAGAAGTACCAAATGATAAGTCTAATGTTGATTTCTAGTGTTTTGATTGTTATTTAAGATTTCATTTGCTGACATCAGGGCAAGGCTCTTTTGTTATATCTGAATACAGTTTCATGAGTCTCTGCTTCTGTCTTGGTGATTCTGAACACTTCATCCTTTCCCTCAGGTTCAGTATTGATGAAGGACGGACGTGGAACATTCACAACTTTACAAGCACCTCTGTGTTCGTCGATGGACTTCTGAGTGAGCCAGGAGATGAGACCCTGGTCATGACGTGAGTGAAAATTTCAATTTCAGTGCTTCTGCCAGAATGATAAAACACACTG